AGAGAGAGGGAGACACAGAATCTGAAACAGGCTCCAGGCTCTGAGCTGTCAGCACAGAGCCCGACACGGGGCTCGAACTCACGGACCGTGAAATCATGACCTGAGCCAAAGTCGGCCGCCCAACCGACTGAGCCACCCAGGCGCCCCAAATTGCATTTTTTAATTAAAATGTAATGTTTAGCACCATCAGTAACAATTTGTTAACAAACTGATGAAAATTCAAGATATATTTTTCCTATTTACATTGAAAAATGCATATTTGGTTTCTTAACTTTTTTAAGGAGCTGACTGGAAAAAAAATTTTTCCTGATTTTAAGAATTATTTCCCTAAAAATTTGATTTTATAAGTAGTTACACAAACGCAAAGTGTTTTATCATTTGCTTTTCTAAAAAACAACAATATTTACTTTACTAAACTCTTTGGATATAATATGTTATCCTGGTTCAAATAATAAACTAAAAATCTGTACTTTTTGTTCTTAAGTCATAACATTTGAATTAAATAATCTAGTGAAACCAGGCAAAAAGGCCAGATATAAAAAACTCTGGAATATTCAAGACTTTAAAAGATCATCTGCTCTATTACTGTAAGCCAGAGTTTTCACAACCCTTTTAAGTGTTTGGAACCAAATAGTGAGTGGTAACAAGTATAAAATATCCTCGTTTCTTTATCGGTTAGAAACAGACACTGAAATGGCTGCATGCTGTGATCCAGAGTTAAGTTCTTAGAGCACATAATTTAAAAGAAAGACATATTTGCTGAATTTCTATATTAACAATGCTATCTTCTAAACAGTACCAAGAGAACTAGAGTTCTGATTTGAAGGTTTTAGGATCTAATGTATGAGTATTATATGCAACTACTTAAAAGATACTTGCCAATTTAAAAAACACAGGGTTTCTATTGTTTTAAGCAATCATAGTGATAAAATAGCAAATCAGAGTGGACTAAATAAATCCAAAACCAACAGGGAACAAAAGGAAAATGTTGTCATGAATAATGATACCAGTGGCCAAGTTTATAGACAATGTTATATCTCTCCATTATCCAATAAATGCCATAGTACAAGGTCATGGAGGAACCAGCAATGTCCCCTGGGTTTAGAACCAGCACAGTGAATAGTAGTTGGGCCATAGCCTGAACGATGCAGTGCCATGCTAGCCTCCTAGGACAGCAGTTTAAGGCACCAGCTGGGCATGATAACAATGCTCCTCTGTCTCCGAGGGGAGAAGGAAAAGCAGATTCTAAATTATGAGAGTATGAACCATTGGAAGCATAAAAAATTACAATAGCATCTAGACAATGTTTAGTTTTATGTACGGTCCTTTGAAGGAGGTTTTTTTACATTTAAAACATTTTACATTTACATTTTTTTACATTTACATAAAATTCTGCCACTGCAATCTGGTTAAAAAAGAACTTTTCTAGTTTTCGATGTGTGCTATATAGATTATTAATAGAGCACCTACAGAAAATAGTTAGTAAAGCATAATAAAAATCTATATGTCCTGCAAAGATGAGTATCATAGATGCCTAAGATTACTAAATATTGCTAGTGATGTTTATAAGGCAGTTAAAAATTGTACGTCTCCCCCCATTTCCCTGAAGCTTTTCTACTCTTGAATGACCCCATTGCTTTTGTTTCCTTTAGCAACTTAAAGATGCATGGTAATGAAAAACTTCCAGAACTGGATGAAAAAGTTTAATTTGCTTTCTTTTTAGGTTTTCTGGATGATTTCATCAGGCCTTCCCTTTCTCATTGACTCAGCAGTTCTGGCCAAAAGTCATCACTGTTTGAAATGTGTTTCTTCAAAACTTCATGTGTATTGAAAATAAATTTTTCAAGCTTAGCTTAAAATTTCAACGCTAGTTAAATTTTAATACTCACGTTTTTCTATTAGGTATTCATGTGGAAGCATACACACAAATTTTCCAGATTCCGCTTTTGATGCATTCATGTTGGGGAAGGAGCACTGCCACCAATCACTGAACACTAATTCATTCAGCTGTGTGGGGAAAATATTGGTGGGTGTACATCCTTGGATTAGTTCCTAGGGTTTTAAATCTATCTTCAGTGAACATGCCCATCTGAACACATTTGAATAAGCCATGGACTCCATGTGCTTATGAACAAACTGATTTGGGATACATAAAATTGCTACTCCAATCTCTGTTCCATTCTCACTAGGCAAGTGTGGCGGGGGAGGGGGGTGCGGTACATGTCAACTCCATGTTGGCAGACACTCATTTCTTCCCCTCACTGCCAGTTCCCCGCTGCACGCACATTAAAGCAAGGTATGTGCTGTGTGGCCTAATTACAAAACAGGGCACTTGCTGTGCCAAGAAATATATTGCTAACTTTATGGGCTTTACCACATATACTCTGAAACTGGAGCTGGACTCTATTCCCTGAAAGAATTAAGCCTTGTCTTTGAGACTCAAATTCTCCTCATTCATCTAATTCTGAGCATTGCAGTGACCTTTAGCATGTATTAGTAATGCTCAGGGTCTATGAGTATTTTTCTGCTCCATGTTCTGAAGAATTCATCAGAAGTGCTTATTCTGGTGCCATTCTGTGCAACTCATTATGCTTTAATGACAATTTTTTATTGCCCAGGAACTTACTATAACCATTTCCTTTTTCTGTTTTTAAGGTTTGAACAGGCTTTTATTACCAGTTTGATCAGTAGTGTGGTAAAAACGAAGGGCAGTTATTTTTGGATAGCTCTTCAAGATCAAAATGGCACAGGAGAATACACTTGGAAGACAGCAGAGGGTCAGAAGTCTGAGCCGGTGCAGTACACACACTGGAATGCATATCAGCCTCGTAAGTAGAGAGAACTATAACATCACCCCTCCCTTCCTGTTTCCTTTGCTCAAAATTCCTTCCACCCCATGATCCAGCTCCTCTGGTGCTTCCTTAATGTTTTCTTAATGCCTAAATCAATTACTAAATTGTAGTAATTGTAGTAATTGTAATTGTAGTAATTACTAAAACAATTACTACAGGTTCTCAGAGGGTGAAATATGGCTGGTCTTTTTTAAAAGTATGACGCATGTGACATTTGACAGGTCCAAGGTGTAAATTCATTGCTCAAGACCACACATGCCTTTATAAGCAGGAAGTCCAGTTTCTTCCTCCTTAAAGGCTTTTCCCCCTCTCCCTCCCCCTCCCCCTGCCCTTGATTGTCCAAGAATATCAGGGGCTTACTCAGCCCAGACTAGTCTGATATACTTCAAAGCACAGTGAATGGGCACATATAGGTACATCTAATCAGTCCACAGTCACAGCCACTTTGCCATGGAATGCTGACCCATTACTTAGGTAACACTCTTGTTAGTCCATCTCCTCCATGGGCTTCTGTTATCCTTAGCCAGGATTTCAGAGTTGCTCTATTAGTTCATCCTCATATGCTCAGCTCTGAATCCCAAAATGTGAAACTGTGCCAGGTTAGTCAGTTCCAGAGAAACGAATGGCTTCAGCCACAAACTACCCTAGAACTAGCCCCTTTGGAACAAGCTTTAGGCCCTTCTTAGGTGACCAGCCTAGACCCAACACACCTTTACATCAGCATGAATTCCTATTTGGATGCCTTGGTCCCTTTCTTACTTACGGGCCTCAATCAGGGCTACCCTAAGAGATGATAGGCAATAAGATAACCTCTAAATGTGTTCCTGGAGGAAATGGGTTAGGGGGCTTCAGGCTCTTCCCTGAGGAGAGATAGGTATTATTATAATACTATCAAAATAATTTTCTTATATCAAATATATAATGATAATAATTAGTCAAAGGACCAAATATACCAATTAAAATACAGAGATTGTCAGAGAAGATCAAAAAACAAGATCCAACTGTATGTTGACTACAAGAAACCCACTTTTGATTTTAATTTTTATTTTTTATTTATTTTTTTTTAATTTTTTTTAACATTTATTGATTTTTGAGACAGAGAGAGAGCATGAACAGGGGAGGGTCAGAGAAAGAGGGAGACACAGAATCTGAAACAGGCTCCAGGCTCTGAGCTGTCAGCACAGAGTCCAACGCGGGGCTCGAACCCACAGGCCGCGAGATCATGACCTGAGCCAAAGTCAGACGCTCAACCGACTGAGCCACCCAGGCTCCCCAAGAAACCCACTTTTTAAAAGAAAGAAAGAAAAAGAAACCCACTTTAAATATAAAGGCACAGGTAAATTGAAAGTAAAAGGATGGACAAAGATATACTGTCCAAATACTAATCAAAAGAGAACAGGAATAGCTATATTAATGTCACAGAGCAGACTTCAGAACCAGGAAAGTTTTCAAGGATTAAAAAAAGTGACATTACATTATGGTAATGGAGTAGTACTCTAAAAAGACATAACAGTCCTTAATGTGTATGCACCTAACAACAGAGCGTCAAAATACATAAGCAAAAAAACCTGATAGAATTGCAAAGAGAAATAGATGACGCTATTATACAGTTGGAGAATGTAACATCCCTCTATCAGAAATGGATAGGGGTGCCTGGGTGGATCAGTTAGTTAAGCGTCAACCTTGGCTCAGGTCATGATTTCACAGCTCATGGGTTTGAGTCCCGTGTCAGGCTCTATGTTGATAGCTCAGAGCCTGGAGCCTGTTTTGGATTCTGTGTCTCCATCTCTCTCTGCCCTTCCCTGCCCACATTCCCTCTCCCTCTCTCTCTCTCTCTCTCTCTCAAAAATAAATAAACATTAAAAAAAAAAATTTAAAAAAAAAAAAAGAAAAGAAATGGACAAATCCAAGAGACAGAAAATCAGTAAGGACAAAGTTGAACTTGATAGTACCGTCAATCAACAGGATATAATTGATATCTATAGGCTAGTTAATCCATCAATAGCAAATTACACATTCTTCTCAAGCTCACATGAAATGTTCACTAAGATAGACCACATATGGCCAAAAAACTCACCTTAACAAATTTAAAAGAATAGAAATCATATAATGTCTTCTCTTGGTCCACAATGAAATTAAACTAGAAACCAATAACAGAAGGATAGCTGGAAAATCCCAAAATATTTAGAGATTAAACAACACATGTCTAAATAACATGTGGGTCAAAGAAGAAATCTCAAGAGGAATCTTAAAACCTTTTAAACTAAATGAAAATGGTAATCTAAAATCAGCAATCTCTGGGATGCCTGGGTGGCTCAGTAGGTTGAGCGTCCGACTTCAGCTCATGTCATGATCTCATGGTTCATGAGTTCGAGCCCCACATCAGGCTCTGTGCTGACAGCTGGGAGGCTGGAGCCTGCTTCAGATTCTATGTCACCCTCTCTCTGCTCATTCCCTGCTCACACTTTGTCTCTCTCTCTCTCTCTCTCTCTCTCTCTCTCTCTCTCTAAAAAATAAATAAATATTAAAAAAAATAAAACCAGCAATCTAAGTATTAGAAGAGAAAATTAAATCCGAAGTAAGCAGAATAAAATAATTAATAATAATTAGAGCAGAGGGGCGCCTGGGTGGCGCAGTCGGTTAAGCGTCCGACTTCAGCCAGGTCACGATCTCGCGGTCCGTGAGTTCGAGCCCCGCGTCGGGCTCTGGGCTGATGGCTCAGAGCCTGGAGCCTGTTTCCGATTCTGTGTCTCCCTCTCTCTCTGCCCCTCCCCTGTTCATGCTCTGTCTCTCTCTGTCCCAAAAATAAATAAACGTTGAAAAAAAATTAAAAAAAAAATAATTAGAGCAGAAATCAATAAAATTGAAAACAGGAACTCCATAAAGAAAATCAACAAAACCAAAACCTGGTTCTTTGAAAAGATCAATGAAATTGATAAGTTTGTAGCCAGGCTCACTAAAAAAAGAGAGAAGACATGGGGCACCTGGGTGGCTCAGTCATTTAAGTGTCTGACTTTGGCTCAGGTCATGATCTCACAGTTTGTGAGTTCAAGCCCCACACCAGGCTCTGTGCTGACAGTTCAAGGCCTGGAACCTGTTTTGGATTCTGTGTCTCCTCTCTCACTGCTTTTCCTCCACTCATGCTCTGTCTCTCAAAAATAAATAATCATTAAAATTTTTTTAAATTAAAAATAAAAAAAGAGAGAAGACACAAATTACTAACATCACAAATAAAAGAGGAGGCATCACTACAGATGCCAGGGACATTAAAAGGATAATAAAAGAATATTATGAACAACTCTATATCCACACATTTGATGACCTAGATGAAATAGACCAATTCCTTTAAAGATATAATCAGCCAAAACACACACAAGAAGAAATAGACTATCTGAATAGGCCTACAGCTATTAATAAAGAAATTGAAACAAAATTCATAACTTTTCCAAACAGAAAGCACCAGGTCCACATTGGTTCATTGGTGAATTCTACCACACATATAAAGAAGAAAGTATGCCAGTTCTCTACAATTTCTTCCAGAAGACAGAAGCAGAGGGAATACTTCCTGTCTCATTCTGAGGCCAGCATTACCCTCATACCAAAATCAAAGATGTTGCAAGAAAAGAAAACTAACGACCAATGTCTCTCACAAACAAAATAGCAAAATCTTCAGTAAAATAATAAATTGAATCCAACAATGTAAAAAAGAATTATACACCACAACCAAATGGGACTTATCCCAGTTATACAAGGCTGGTTCAACATTCGAAAATCAATTAGTGTAATCCATCACATCACCAGGCTGTAAAACAAAAGTCACATTATCATATCAATGGATGCAGAAAAATATTTGACAAAATCCTATACCTATTTATTTTAAAAACTGTTAGCAAACTAGGAATAGAGGGGAACTTCTTCAACTTTATATATTTAATTTTTTTAACATTTATTTATTTTTTGAGACAGAGACAGAGCATGAGTAGAGGGGGGAAGCAGATTGAGAGGGGAGACACAGAATCCAAAGCAGACTCCAGGCTCTGAGCTGTCAGCATAGAGCCCGATGCAGAGCTTGAACTCACAAACTGTGAGATCATGACCTGAGCCGAAGTCAGATGCTCCCTGACTGTGCCACTCAGGTGCCCATCTTTAGAAAGAACATCTACAAAACCTACAGATATCATAATTAATGGTGAGAAACTAAAAGCTTTCCCACTAAAATCAGAAACAAGGCAAGGATGTTCCCTGTCAACAGTTCTTTTAAACATTGTACTAGAAGGCCTAGCCAATGTAGTAGGATAAAATAAAATAAAATAAAATAAAATAAAATAAAATAAATACAGATTGGGAAGAAAGAACTAAAATTTTGTTCACAGATGATAAGATTGTCTATGTAGAAAATCAGAAAAAAATCAATAAAAAATCGCTTGAACTAATAAGTGATTATGGCAAGATTGCAATATGAAAGATTAATGAACAAAAGTCAATTGCTTTCCTGTATAACAGCAATGAACAAATGGAGTTTAAACTAAAAAACATATTATCATCTACATTATCACCCCCAAAATGAAAAACTCATATATAAATCTAATGGAATATATATAAAATCTATATGAGGAAAACTATACACTTTAATGAAAGAAATCAAAGAACAAGTAAATAAATGGAGAGATATTCCAAGTTCATGGATAGAAAAACTCAGTATCATCAAGATATCAGTTTTTCACAAACTTCCCTATAGATTCAACACCATCCCAATCAAAATCCCAGGAAGTTATTTTGTGGATATTGAAAAAACTGATTCTGAAGTTTATATGGAAAGGCAACAGACCAAGAATAGCCAATTCAATATAGATGTAGAAGAACAAAGTCAGAGAACTGACACTACATGACTTTAAGACTTACTATAAAGCTAGAGTAATCAAGACAGTGTGGTATGGGGGGGGGGGGGGCCAAGACAAGTCAGTTGAACATAAGAG